CCAATCTTTTCCAGATGTTTTCTCCCTTGCCAAATCAACTGTTCAGGTTCTTTTGCCTCCCCAGTTGTTTCATATCAATTTCCACACTACCCATCAATCTTGACCGTAGTTCATTTGTGTCTTGATCCTAAATTGATTCTTCCATTTATTCCATTTACATCCATCTATACGTGGTTAATTATAAACATATTAATCAATATCTGGATTACTATCATTAAAACTATATGCTTATAACTAATGATATTACTAATGATCTGGATTACTAAACTAATGATCTAATTAATTTACTGATTGGTTAAGTAATGATCCCCCTGCGTCATCTGTGGCGCACTGAGAAGCTGAAACCTGGACATCCCTGGACGAATGTTCGATGACAATGTTCAGCACACGGCTTCGAAAGACCTCATACTAATCTCATACTTATTAAAAAAGAAATAAGAAAGAAATATAAAGATCTCAGACTAATGTTCATAATCTTAGATGTTCATCTCATCAAGTCTAACCCTCATTTTCTCATCCCAAACGGGAAGTCTGACCAGCAAAAAAACAGCTGGACCAGACACATTTTTTTTTAAATGGTCCCAGAGTATCCGGGATTACCCTCTGGTTATGTCAACAGTTAGCTATTTTTCAGCCATGGCCATAGGGCCCAGTCGAAATGTCGTGGATTTAGCCAGCTATAAAATGGTGGTGATTTTCCAGTTCGTTATGTAAACGTTTACCAGAGGGTAATGATAAATAATGATCATATCAAGTTGGTAAGAAACAAACAGTGTTAAACCCCCCAATAATTACACAATATCAAGTTGGTAACGAAAAATACATGCTAAACATTGCCAAACCCCCAAAAATACACCATTCATATGATAAATGAATCCCATAAATTCATGAGATCTTTCAACCATCTGGCGGTCTGCGCCTCGGGCAGACTGTTCTGTCCATCTTTGATGTAGCCCGCCAATTCACCTGTCAAGAGATGCCATGGGAATAAAATGAATAAAGAAATGATCAAGAATCGATCAACGGAAACAAGGTAAACAAGGTATACATGGCATGGTGATGTACATTTACAGCCCGTTTCAACAGGTATCCAAACGTACATAAATATTCCAAAATGGCCTGGTTTTTATTGGGTGTGTGGCATTTCCAAAATGCCAGCCATGGCCTTGCCTCCATCAATCAGCTCCATCACAATCCTGAAATCAAGCCACAAGAATCGTGTCATGAGACATGGAGGATAGTGGTTTTTAGAGGATATGGAAGTTTTTTACGGTCATATCGTGGGAAATGAACCTAACAATCAATACGCTAACAATCCGGAGAATGGGAAATGGATGGAAATGGGGGGTATCAAAATGGGATATACCATCTGATTATGACTAAGATAGCCATGGAAAGATCCACCATTTTTAAGTTCGGTAAACTTGGTAAACCATCTATTTCAATGGGCCATCTATACCATGGCTATGTTAGTCATAACCAGAGGGGAAGTAACCAACGGAACCCCGGGCTGTGGCCAACGGGGAAAATCATGATGAACCCGATGAAGCAATGGATCCATTTTTGGGTACCCCGTTTTCAGACGGGTACCCCATATTGGGTGTTATGTATCCAAAGAAATGCCCATATAGAATCGCCCAGAGAATGGTCCGTTTGAATATTTAACCCCCCTTGTTTTAATACCATCTGGTTATTTAACACAGCCATGGAAAATCACCATGTTTAATAGGCAAACCATCTATAAATGGACCATTTTCCATGGCTATGTTAAATAACCAGAGGGTACTTACAGTCGCCCAACTGGCAAAATCCAACCGTAAACCAATGAGATTGTTAATATGTAACAAAATCGCGTTGCTCTACCCCTTGGCTGCAACTTCCAGACATGTATGTTATGTAAACAATATCAGATCCCAATGTCAGATTCTTCCCAAATCATAATCCTAACAAATATCAACATCAAACCCCATCAAAACGCCACCGGCGCAGCCGGTCCGCCGAGCAGGGGCCGAGCATCATGATGTACTGCGCTTGCGAAGTTCCAGGGCGATACGCATCGAAGCATCCGAGGCAGCTGCAGATGTTGGGATGGCCCTGGATCTTCATCAACACGTCCGTCTCTTTTCCTGGCGTCCCGGGTAAAGAGACCCGGTTCAAGTTCGTAGCAATAGTTTATATAAACCCATGAATGGATTGATGGTTTAAAGATCTTTTTTGTGTGTTTTTTAATAGTAAAATTGTGGATCAACATGAAGCAGCTTTACCGTTGCAGCAAAACCTGGGTGATCTCGGAAACAACCTTTAAGGGACGATCCGCCAGGTGATCCAGATGTTCGGATCCAAGTTCTCATCGTAGCACAACCACTGATCTTCAAAGAAAATCAACCTGTTAACCCTTGGAAAAGTGCTGGTTTATGAATGCTTTTCTTGTGGTTATAGTTATAAGATGTTATAAGTATGCATCATATTCATAACTGGTTGGGGGTTGAGCCACCTACCCCTCTGAAAAATCATGGCGTTCGTCAGTTGGGATGATGACATTCCATTCCCAACTGAATGGAAAGTTATAAAATTCCAGCCATGGTTCCAGTCACCACCAAGCAATTTTGGCTTGTCTGAAAATAGAGTATCCCATGCTATCCACTGGCTCATCATGATGTTTCACTTCACTTCAATACCATCTGGTTATGACATTCACAGGGCTAGCCATGGAAAATCACCATGGCCCATTTATCGAAATAGATGGTACACACCGTTCTTAAAGATGCATGGTGGATCTTTCCATGCTGCTGTTAGTCATAACCAGATGGTTATTTTTTTAGATCCTATTAAACCACCATAAAATCCCATTAAACCACCATTAAATGCCATTAAACCACCATTAAATCCCATGGAAAACCACCATTTTTTATGCCATTAAACCACCATAAAATGCCATGGAAAACCACCATTAAATGCCATTAAAATCACTATTTTCAGATCTTCTGGCCGCTACCGAGCATCGGATCTCAGCGATCTTCTGGTCGCAAGAGGGATCCATCAACAAACGCCAGATGGGGATGGTCTTCACCGCATGTTTCACGTTGGGAGTGCTCCTGAAAAACCGCCAGATACCCCCAAATTGGGCAACCCCAAATGGGCAACCAATGGGTTTTTTAGGGAGAAATGGAGAAGGCTTAGAGATATATATGTTAACCAGAGATTGGATTATGTAGTCTAACAAAACTACATGTTTCTGGAGAAGGGTTAGAGATATGATATGGACAGAGCATCTTGCTGGGTTTTAAGATGGACAGAGCCGATTGAACCACCAGAGGATTCACAGAATGATTTTGGTATTCCTATTCTTTAGCCCTTTAGCCTCTGGTAAGCGTTTACATAATGGAAAGATCCACCATTTTAGTCATTTTACAGCTGGGTAAATCCACTATTTCGACTGGGCCATGGCTTCAATAGCTATTTTGACATAACCAGAGGGTAACTTCAAGAAACCCATATTCATGGGCTGATTTTGTTTGAGGCTCTGGCAGCCAACATCCAGGAATCGAGAGGATTTGGGGCGCCTTGTTCATAGTTTTTTCCAATGAGTCTCCATGCTAAAATTTGCCTGGGTTGTTTCAAACGGGTCTTTGGATCCATGTTTTTTTTCAGATGTTTCTACAGATTTTCCCAGCCATTGGAGTGACATGGGATGGCTTTGTTTCCCTCTGGTAACTAGTTCGATGATATTCCATTGGAATGACCAAATTGGTATGTCCCCCGGTTTTCTTCAAAATATCATCGAACTAGTTACCATGGGATGGCTTCATTCCGTAACTCAACAATGAATTCGAGAATTGTTACCCAACTCAGAAGCCTGAATAGTTGCTAACAATTACCCAACTTAATGTCAACCCTGGATAAAAAAAAAACCGTTTACGGCTGTTTAATTGGGAGGCTACTAAAATTGATGTACCATCTAAAGTGACTATTTGGAGGGTACCCCCACTGCCCCGACTCGGCGTCTCTCGGCGTCCTCTTGTGGCACAAGTAGACGGTGCCCTGACCACCCACGCCCAGCACCTCACGAGAAATGCTATGGCGACGCGAGCGACGCGAGCCTACCCGCCTACCCGAAATGGTGATGTCAAAATAGCTATGGATTATGGACCATTTATGGTTGATAGCTATGGATTATGGATGATGATGGCCTTTATAGTTGATTTACCTATTAAAGATGGTGATTTTCCATAGTTATGTTAGTTTACCAGAGGTACTTCATGGATCAAACTTATCAAACATGGCTGAGAAATCCCCGTGGCCTAGCCATGGAGGTTTAGTTCACTGGAAAAATCATCGAACTAAAACAGATTAAAAATTAGTGGATTTTCCAGCAAGCCATTGCCATGTTTGACTTCTGGACAGATGGGAACGACTCCCCAGTATTGAGGTTTCGGGTTTGCCCCATGATAAATCATGAAAACATCACCTCTGCTGCGAAGCCAACCCATCCCAAATAATTAACCTATAGCATCCTATAGCCATAAACTACGGTGCACAAGAAGTAATGAGACCTTGCTGAGAGACGGCTGGAAGTGTTTCTGTATTCTTTCAATCCATGTGAGTCGTGGTCAAAAGGTCTTGTCTTTCTGAAGTCGCCAGAGGGAACACTTACACCAGAGCTTACGCGCTGGTTTAGCGTACGCGCAGGAAAAGCTTACGCTGATGCTTATGCGGGCGCACAGCAGGGTTTTGCTTACGCGAGATCCTAAAGATGCCTCTCCCTTGCAATGAGCTGGGTTTTGAACCTGGCTGTGTCAACAGTTGTCAGTGGCCCCAGAAGATGTCACCTCAAGCCAGACGAAGTCTTTATCCATAGCCTTCACTAAACGTAAAAACTAAGCGGTTTCCGAAATGGCAAATAGCACATGGAGTTTGATGATCTACATCTTCTAATGGGGATGTTCCACAGCAAACTCTTCGTTTCCTCTTCAGGGTCCCCAAAAAGACCCATAAACACGCCTTGTCGGTCTCAATCTCGAAAGGATCCTCGCCAACACCACCAAAAAAAAGCCACGTTTTTTGAGGGTCGATTCAAATTTTTTTTCGACCCTCTGGTGTGTTTCTCTAAGAAAATCCCCAAACGGCCTAGCCATGGAGGGTTCCCGACAGGAAAATCATGAAACTAAATAGTGGAGTTTCCAGAAAACCATGTTTGATTAAAGTCGATCTTGCAGAATCAAGGATCATACCCATCATTCAAGGGAGTGGTTTTGACGGGATTTCTTTACACAGCCCCATATTTCATGGGAAATCTACGGTTTGCGGTCAAGATTTTCCCGTGAAAACCAATCCATTGAATCATGAAGTAATCAGCAATCGGGGTTAGTTCTCGATCATGCCAATCTGTAAGCATAAGTATCTTGTTTTCCAGGTGCTAGTGCGATAGGTTGATGTGGGGCAGGATGGTACAGGTCAAAATCATCAACCTCCAAAAATATGCCACAATGCTTGCTTTACTCAGGTTCATGCTGGAATCATTTTGGACACCTCAAATATTCCAATTAGCAATATTCCAATTATTATATACCAATATATTATTATTTTGGATAGTTAAAAAAATGTTCCAATCCCTAGAATTTTCAATACCCATGTGAGATCGTCATATGCACCCCCAAATCAATCGATTACTAGACTGAGAACAATCTTAAATATTTGTCAACTAGCTCCACTAAAAGATGAAATGGATCCGTATTTTACTTACAATCAGTGGCGAACTTAAGAAGAAAATTATAATTTGTTTAAATCATATTGCTAAAATTCAATCGAAATGCATCAATATAGTTCATCAAGTGTAGTATTATAGTTCATAAATATTCATCAATCGCTCAAATACATCTATAAATACTATATTTCAGGTTTCCTGAGTCTGGAGCTATCCTCAAATCATCCATGTCCATTTTCCCACGGAAATTTTCACATCAATAAACCATCCAGCCATTGGGGGTACTATGGAACCACTATGGAAAGCCAGCCATAAAATTCCTTTCGGTCCTCAGGAGGTCCAAAGACGCGGAACTGATCGATGGAGCCCAGGGCCTGGGGTTTTTCATGGGGTTTAATGGGAATCAATGGGTTTAATGGGTGGTATACCTACCCTATATATGGTTAGTATGGTTTAATATGGTTTAATCGCATTGATTATAATATCAATAACTCCAATAACTATGGTTTATAGATGTTTATAGGTGATATATCTATAGTATCTATAGTTTTAATGGGGTTTATAAACCAACTAACATTAATGGGAGATCTTCAGGATCCGAATTAATGGAGGTACGTTAGTACCATATTTCTGCAATATTTTGTGGGGATATTCCCTGAAATTAAGGCCTAAAAAATAGGCCTTATATATGGAATCGGTACCTCCAATTTAGGTTCCTAAAATGGCCATTAATTTAATGGGATTAACTGAGGATTCAAAATGTGCATGTTAATGGATTATGAATGTAAACCAGATTATTCAGTGGATTATTGAGCAAACCAAGCAAACCAGTGGATTATCTGGCAACCCATTTTTTTGGCATGTTGCGTTAATATCCTCAAAAATACGGGGTTGATTGTACATTAGATTCATGTACCATATCCCATAGGATCCATGGTGCTGCTATATATGGTAACATTTACCATCAATATACCCCCTTTATGTTAGCATATATACCAGCACCATGGATCCTATGGGTATGGAAATCCTGAAATACTGGCCATTTGAAGTCCCAGAAAACAAGGGATGGCCATCCGTGGCACATATGGGCGACTAATACGGGATCTAATCTGGATACAGAGGATACGTAACCCAACAGCCATGACCATCAAACCCCCTCCAAAAAACAAGCTATACTAGCTATACAAACCAGAAACATGGGGACATCATGGAATATATATATATATATGAATATACAACATTCTATAACCAACAACATGCTATTTCCTGGTGCTTTTCCTCATCCAATGGTGGTTGCAACATGCCAAGTTAAAGGCTACTGTCCAATATGGTGACCCCTGGGTGACCTGGAGGTTATTATAATGGGGGTTTAACCACCAGGGCTTCATGGGAACCCCAAAAAATACCATCAGAGTATAGATAGTATAGGGAAAGCCAAAGCGATAGACAAAGCCATCTTGTGGCTTGATGAAACATTGTATGTCAATTGGAGTGGGTTTGGTCTTGGCATAGAAATCGGGTTGAGTCGGATGAGAGTGTAAAATATTGGATTTTTCTTGGATTTGAATTCCCTATACATCGAGAAACGTGTTGTTGACTGACTGTTGACCCACTTTGTTCATGGTGGTTTATAATGGTTTATATGCCCAGCATTTTTCAGGAATGGTTGGATGAGTCATATCGTTGATTTTAATTCAGAACAGTCACTGAATTCGTCAGATGAAGTTCTATAAATAGGGGGGGTCAGCCAACTAATCATCAGCTGGTGAAACAGAATGGTCATCCAGCCACACTCCATTTCTTGGTAGTGCAGGCTGAATGATTCTCATTGTTGGTGAACAATGGTGAACACTGGTGAACATAGTGTTGCTGTTTTACTGCTTGTATCAGTTTATAAAATGGTTGGATAAATCCCATTTTAGTCAGATCCCAACATTCCATAACATTCCCAAAGTTTGCAGTGTTCGAACTCATCGAAGTGTCATTCCATGTTAATCCTGGTTGTTTAAGAATAACATTCCCAGTTGAACGATGATCATCCACAAGATACATCAAGATACCCGGCAATTTCACACACCTCGCTATGGCGAAGCGCCTTTTTTTCGCGACTTCGATGATTTACCAAGCTCAAAAAATGGTGATGTTCCGTAGCTATGTCATATATACGACATGGATCGAGGTTCATTCATCATTATTTAGTTATAAAGAGTGATTAACTATCATAGTTAATTTCAATTAATAACAGGTTATTTATCAAACTCATCAACCAACAGCCATCCAGTTGATGGCACATACACGCCTGCGACACCACCTTAGAGCCCCTCTTGCTGCGGCTTCGGTCAGCCTTCATGCCTGGCATTTCGATGACAATGGCCCATTGCGCTTTTCGTTTTTTTTTGGAACTGTAAAGGAGTCAAAGGAGTGATAAAAACCATTCACCAAATCCCATCTTTAGAGGAGATGTTGAAAAGGAGTTCCAGTGAGGTCGTGCTAGGTCAAGGGAAAGTTGCCAACGATTTCTATGACGAAACATGACGAAACCATGGTGTCCGGTGTCCCCATTTCGTGACAGATGAAAGAAAGCCGTTAAACTGTGTATAAATATTATATCATGGAAGTTGAAAAGTACCATTTCCATGCAAGATATGTCCGAATTAAAGTGTCCCTTGGTGTTCTCCCATAGATCTATATCATACTGTATTCCTCTGGTAGGAACTAACAAATTTAACAAAGAGAAAAACCAAGGAAGTCAAGAATCTACACTGCACCCAGAAAAGAACCCAAGAATTGGCATACCCTGCTGTAAAATCCGCGAGCCAGTTCCACCAGCATCTGCTTTTCCAGGACTTTGAGTTTTATTTGGGACTTACATCACTTACATCCCTCCCGTGCGTTTGCAACCACAAGTGGTTCCAGATTTCCTGAAAATAAGACTGACCTCTCCAGGAACTCATCATATAGGATGAAGAGATTTGGTCCCAAAATGTCGCATCAAATTACATCAAACACTCAGTTCAAACCCATCCTCCCATCCTCCCATCCTCCCAACATCGCCTGATGCATAGGCTCCCAGGCCACACATGGCGCCCAGCACCATGGCGCTCTGCGCTCCCCTGGCGCCATCGGCGCTGGGAGCCGCAGTCGCTGCAGTCGCTGCGCGGCGCGCGGTTGCGGCAGGTGCGACGGCCACGGGGGCGACGGGAGCGACGAAGCTCAAAGACATGGCGCCGTTAGGATCAAGCGGGGCCTGCCGTGGTGGAGCCTAAACGCTGCAAAAACTCAGGAGAATCCTTGGAAGACACAGTACCCTCTGGTAAACTAACGTAACTATGGAACATCACCGTTTTTAATGGGAAAATCCACTATAAATGGCCATTTTCAATAGCTACGTTAAATTACCAGAGGGTATATTCTACGATTTCTAAGCAACAATCAATGAGAAAAAAATGGCCTTGCTCATTTGTTTGCCAGAATTGGATTGGAAAGATTGGGAGGTTGAACTCCCATATTTGATGGGCAAAAAAGTGGTTTTTTTCGGCTTTTCCCCTAGATCATTTCCATCAAGAGAAGTCGAAACTTGGATGAATGGGCATTGGTCAAAACCCTGGTTTTCAATGGATGTCACATCAAAATCGCTGGTGTATCTGCAGATCTATGTCTGGATGAACTCATCCCAAAAAGCATAAATTCAGAGGTTGCTCCGAGTTGCTTCCTCATTTTTCATAGTGCAGTTCCACTGATAAGTGGGTTTTATAACCATAGTTGCCATAGTTGACCATAGGTATAGGGGCCCCGTCTCCCAACTTCAGCTTATAACCATAGTGAAAAATCATAAGTTGTATCGATTTTCATAAGCCATAGTTATATCATGTTATATCAGTAGTCCATGAGTTCATCTACCCTTTTTTGATGGTGCGCGTCATCCCGCGGAAATCAGGCCCTCCAGCAGACCCGCGCTGGGACCTCTGGTCACCCTTCTCCTGATTGATTAACGGCGAAGATATGTGCCATGGTCATATGTGCCATGTGTAATGGGATAATCATGGGATCAAAACGTCAAGAATATGACAATAGTATAAGGATTATTTGGTTGGGATAGTAGTGATTCATCAACAACCATATAAGTGAATCATAAACAGCGCGATGAATGTGGTATAGTATGCTTTTGGTCATCGGCTCACCCATATTTTGACCATGGCACAGGGATTCATTGGGATTTACACCTCAACAATTTGGATGCAAATGGTATCAAACCAACACCAAGGAAAATGTACTGGGGGATTTAATGGGGATATGGTGGGATAATGTGGGATATATGATATATAACCAACAATATGACATGTTTGTGCGTCTGAACAAGACGTATTCTCCAAAAAAACATGCAATGCGGAACATGATCTGCCGGCACTCCCTGTGTTGAAAAGGAGATCAAGAAATTGGTGGTTTTACCGACCAATGATGAGAGCTGCCTGCAATGTTGCCTGTCACGAAAAGATTGGAAAACCCCAGGTACGGGTTTTGGGTCACTACATTGGCCATGACCAGAAAGTTGCTACTCACATTCCTCGACTAGGATGGTATAGGTGATTCATGGTCATTCAGGAGCTCATTTTGTGATATGATTATCGTCAAAATTATACGCCAATTTAAGATGAATCATAATCATATAATTATCCATTTCAAACAGATCATATCCAACATATTTTTATCCATATCCATATAATATCCAGATAATATCCATATAATATCCATATAATATCTAATATCAATATCCAACATGTTCCATTTCAACAGTGAAAGCGTCCTCCATATTCTGGAGTTAAGGGGAAACTCTGGTTCCGGGGAAACCCGGGGTCCAACTCAATCCTCTTGTTGCTCCATGTTGCTCCATAGTTTTGGATGAAGTTTTCAACTGGAATATAACATAAGAATATCCCTATTGACATTGTAGAAATCTTGGAAATTTCAATGGGGATATAAGAATTTCATCATATTTCAAGTAAAATCAGTAACTCTCCACAAAAATGTCTGCTAAAACATCACCCAACTCACCACGTCTCAAGAAGCGCCTCCTTCTTCCAGGGCAGCAGCTGAACCGCCGGAATGGCGGCCGCCGGACCCGGCAGCACCGGTGCTACGGCGGTCATCGCCATCCCGAAAGCCGGGAAGGGACTTTCCAGGGTCGATTTTGACGATCTGATTCTTCATAAATGACTAATCCACAAAAATGCTGTCAACTGACTTTGGACGGGAAACGGAAACGAAATTATCGAAATTCAAGTAAAACATATCGTAAAATGTGGAGCCTGTGCTGCTGTTTTCCCCTTGAACAACGGATCTGGATGAATATGGATCAAGTACTGCATCATTGCTCCACACCCAGCAAAAAGACGCTCTCACTCCGATGGCACACCTTTTTTCTCTGCATGGTCTGTGGATGTCTGTGGTTCGCACAGCTATTGAGTCATCACCATGGCACCATGGCACCTGCAGGGTGCCATACCAAATACAATAATGTGGTAAAGTTGTCATAAACAAGTAGCATAAAATAGCATAAAGAATGCCCAATTTTTTTGCCATATGGGTGGAATCATTCCAAATGGATCCGAATTTTGAAGCTTTATGACAGCCGGGGGCAATCCCACGGAAGTAAACCTGTCAACCCCAGGGCATTTATCAATCACTGGAGATGTTCAGTTGGAGTTTTGCCTATGGAAAAATATTTCCTGATTTTGGGTGATGTTCATCTATGCCACCCCAAATTGGAGTGAAATCTGCAGGGTTTACCCCGTTAATTTAATGTCAAGACCAGCCAGTTTCTGGTGATGATTCTCCCCACAAAACCAGCCAGATCGACTAAGGATCCAGTTTCTGAATTGTTAAATCATGTCAAACGACCAGTTTTGATATTCAAAACACCATGTTGATGGAAAACCCATTGAAATTTATGATTCAAAAAACACTTCCCTGGAACCAAAAAATCCTTTGCCTTCAACGAACGGGCCATCTCCACTGTTTCCTCGAAAGGAACCGGTCCTGGCTGGTAACAAAGTAACAGCGACACGCAAGGCTCATTTTTAGAATCTAACCAATTTAATCGTCCGGGTGGATGATTACAATCCTCCCATGTGTCTATTGAAATTGTAATAAATTACGATTGTTTTCCCTATTTTTCATGGTGCATCGGTGCAATGGTCGAAAAACGAGATACGTCGACGTCGCATTGTCATCCATCCTACAATGGGAATCCAAACATAATGGGGGTATAAATCCATATGAAAATGGACTGATGACTGTTCCATGGAAGCACCACTAACACTAATGTGGAACAATTCCACACATGTCACTCGCGAGATTGTGCTGAGACGGGTCTTGACTCCAACCGCCCTGTTTCTTACTTGTTTTGATGTTTTCTTAAGCAACAATCATTTGTGTTGTTAAACGTTTCTCTTGCAATCCGAAAATGCATCCTGGCAATGTAAGTCCCCGAATCCAATAATTTTTGTAATTTAAAGGATTACATATATATATATATATAAATATATATATATATATAAATTTACATACAGTATACATACATACATTGATATATATATATATATAAAGCCTTGCGTGCACAACAGTTGTGGTACTGGACATTCCTTGAATCTTTTCATGGTAGCGGAGCCGTGATCCTGGAAGCATCCAGGTGAGTTCCAACAAACAAACAACAACAAGGAGCACTTGGGTAGAAGCCCAACAGGAGAAAAGAGAGGGCTAGATTCCAGAACACTGGGGGACCCTCAACAACAAACAGACCACGACTGTAACAACAGGAAAGAGGAAACAGGTTCAACAACAAACTGCGCGTGAGGAGAAAGAAGAGGGCTTGATCCCAACTCAAGAGTGTGGGGGACCCTCAGCAAACGAAGAAGCAACAGAAGCACTTGCCTGGACACACAGACTGAAGCTGAAGCCACCAAGGACTTGCACTTAGAACTTAGAACATCTTTCGGAAAAAAAGATGTCGAGCCGTCACAGCGGGGATGTTCCAAGTATCACTTAGAACATCAGGAAAAAAACATATACTTAGAACATATCCAACATATATAATCATATCTCTCTATATAGACACACACACACACACATACTTAGAACATCCTACGGGGAATCAATGAGAACCATATAGATGTTCACAGGGTATGTCGCGCAAAGATATTATACACCATATTACGAAAGCCAGCCGGGAAGCTGGCTAGTTGTTTTTTGCGAACGAAGTGAGAATAGAGGGTCTGGGGGGGGTAGCTGTCAAACGGGCCGAAAACGGCGTAAATAGGTGGTGTTTTAGGACCGCGCAAAGCAACGTTGCACTGATTCTGACGAGACTCAAGAGCTGTGACTTCAGCTGTCTTTCGCTGATGTTCGGAAAACGAAACATGTTTTGTTTTTGCAATTCCTGTCAATTCGCGTTCCCCTGCACCATGGCTCGGCCCAATTGTCAAAGGGTTCCAATTTTTCTGGAACCGCCCAGAGGCTCCACCGGGGCGTCACTCAACCTAGGAGGATTGCCGGCACGGTCTGAACCGTCTGAGTCGATGGTGAAATACGCCATGGAATTGCGCAAATAATATCAAGATTACCAGTAGTACCGTACAAGGCGGTGGCTGAAGCTTCAAAAATAGCAAACCTATAGGAGATGTTGGTTGTTGTGAATCAGGGATGGCAGGGCGAATCCACTGATGGACCGAAAGGTGCTTGAGGTCTCTCTTTCGCTCTCTTTCTCTGACTATCTACCTATCTACCTACCTACCTATCTATCTTCTATGTATCTATCTATCTATCGATCTATCTATCGATCTATCTATCTCTCTCTCTCTTTCATCTAATTACCTATCTACCTATCTATCTATCTTTCTTTCTATCTATCTATCTGTCTAATCTAATCTAATCTAGTCTAATCTAATCCAATCTAATCTAATCTAAACTAATCTAATCTATCCATCTATCTATCTATCTCTCTCTCTCCCTCTCTCTCTTTCATCTGTCTATCTGTCTATCTGTCTAGCTGTCTACCTGTCTATCTGTCTATCTATCTGTCTATCTGTCTACCTGTCTAGCTGTGGTGCAGTGTCATTCAGTGTAGTGTAGTGTAGTGTAGTGTAGTGTAGTGTAGTGTAGTGTAGTGTAGTGTAGTGTAGTGGAGTGGTGTGTAGTTGTGTAGTTGTGTAGTTGTGTAGTTGTATTTGTAGTGTAATGGAATGTAGTGTAGTGTAAGGTAGTGAAGTGT